GTGTTAACCTCTGGTCACAAGAAAAAATTAATTTGTTTGAACCTTTCTACATTGTAAATTATAAAATGATATTCACACCCTATTATGTAACTAATTCTTTTTCGTTGTGTTTAAGATTCCAATTTTTCAATGGATTGTTATAAATAAAACTAGCCTAGCTTCATTATCACATAGATGGTTACATTTTACTGTGTTAGATGATTATTATTAATCCATATCTTTTAATTGTAGGAGAGGCTGGGTTATTTGGAAGATGGAAAAACTATTTTTAAATTGCAATTAAGGCTTTGCTCATCTTTTTACCCAATTAATGAGCGCATATGGGATTTTTTTCTTGAATACGATAGACACTCTTTGAACAAGTCCTCCATGTGGTTCTGAACTTTTGGAGGTATATTGGCTATGCTTCTTTCTTCAGTCTTTACAGTTGTCTTGGTTAAATCCATAATTAGTATTCATAATCTCTTTAGTTTTGGTGTTTTATAATTTTCAAGTCAACTGAAATTATTCTGTGGTTGTGCTTGAATTGATTTAAACATTCCCCAAATCCAGTTTTCTTAATTGGTGATACAGCATGTCAATTTTATAAATGCAAAATACTATGTCATGAATTGGATTGTTTTTCATATGTTTTTGTCACTAGGGTGGTCAATATTGGAGCAACTGCTTTAGTTACAGACACAGCAACAACAATATTTGGAGAAACTGGTGCTAGTGTAGCAACTGGAGTGACTGTATGTATATAAAAATTCTATCCTCTTTATGTGCCCCACATACCCAACCTCCTTGTCTGCCTCTATTCGTACTTGTATGTAACTCATTGTGAATTTGTAGTAAATTAGAGTAAAAGGCTAAAATTTGTTTCAGGATGAATCTCTTTAAGTTAGCTCCTGAGTTGTATAGTTCGCTATTACAAAGTTTTGTATTTCGTTTGTAAACAATAAAGGAAGAATGAATAAGAAATCTTATTGGGTAACTCTAATAGACTGCAGAATAATCACAAGGTGGGTGGTGTGGTTATTTGTCGTTCTTTTTCCTTTTTCCCTCTACCTCTTATGACAATGTGAAGGTGGTAATGGTAAATGAGCCGGATCTTTTGTGACCATAGGGTCTTTGAGTTCGAGATTTGGTATTTTAGGTGGCTCTAGGACTTTCTATGACATGGATACTTGTTTTATTTTATTTTTTGATATTGTGGGTATCCAAACCTTTGGGCACCAATCATTCTTTATACAGTAGATTAATTTGCATATATTTCTCTTTTTATATTATTGGTAAAGGAGTTGATATTTTATTAGAAAATCAAAACAATGGCTTGTATATCGTACATGACAGGCTTAGCTTATTTCCTTCAAGGGGGGTTTTCCATTTCTCTGTTTTTTCTTCAACACACTCATGAAATTATTAATCTGAAGCTATCCTACAGAGCAATGACAAATGATCTTGGATCTTCTTATACTTTTTGTTTCCTTTTCTCCTAAATGAATTTGTTTTTGGTCT